TGATAATCATTAATTTAAATTTTAAAAACATCTCTTTGATGGAACTAAAGAGTTGAGGAGATCGTCTTTACTAATTAATGGGTCTAATATCTTGCCAAAGTTAAAATATATCAATTTCATTTATGAAAAAATGACTCAATTAAGAAAAAGAGTGAGGGACATATTTAAGGTGTCTAGCCTCATATTACTCAAGTTGGTGATATTGATACTCAAGTTGGTGATCTTGATGTTCAAAGTGATGATGAGAAAAATGAAGAAAATGATCTCAATGAGTCTGAGTTATGAAAAAAAAGTATCTTTTTTGAGTTACTTTATTGGGAATACAATTTATTACGTCATAACCTTGATTTGATGCACATAGAGAAGAATGTTTGCGAAATTTTATTAGGACAATTCTTAATGTGAATAAAAGATCAAGAGATGACTTCAAGAGTCAACTTGACCTAGTTGATATAAAGATTTAACTTGACCTTCATTCGAAGTTGCTTCTTAATGGCAAATATCAATTGTCTCCTGCCTGTTTTGAGATTTCTAAAGTTGAGAAAGATGTGCTTTGCAAGGTTTTGAAAAATGTGAAAGTTTTGAATGGTTATGCGTCAAATATTTTGAAATGCGTGAATCTGAAGGAACGAAAACTTTCTTCATTGAAGTCACATAATTATCACATTTTGATGTAAGACTTACTTTCCCTTGCTTTACATTCATCAATGTCAAAGCAAGTTACTTCAGTAGTAATTGAATTGAGTAACATATTTAATGCTCTATGTGGGAAAGTTCTGAATGTGGAAGAGATTAACAAACTTGAAGATTGAGTCGCGATTATTTTATACCATTTAGAGAAGATTTTTCCTCCAAACTTCTTCACTATTATGATGCCTTTGTTATCCACCTTTCATATGAAGTAAAAGTTGATGGACCAGTTTATTATCAATGGATGTATCGTATCGAAAGTTATTATTTGTTAATAGCTTGATTAGGTTATTAGTGTTGATCATATCACTCTAGTTAAAAATATATATGATAAATGTTTTATGCCTTAGGTTTTTAAAGAGGTTAAAGTCTTATTGTTACAACAAACGTTATTCAAAAAAGTTCTATTGCTGAAAGATACTTAGCAAAAGAGTGTATGATATTTTGTTCTCGTTATTTGAAAAAAGTTAAAATAAGATTTAATATATCATCAAGAAATGTTGGTATGTAGCATACTGACTTTGCCTACAATTATCTTTTTGAAAGTTTTAGATAACTAATAGACAAAGCTGAAATGATGGAATTAGATGATAAATCTTATGCACAAGCATATCGATATGTTCTTTTCCATCATGACTCAATTGAATCATTTCGCAAGTAAGTTTTTTTGCAAGGAAATAATTCATTCCATTAAGCATAATTTATTATATTTTTCTAATTGTTCATACTTATTATAATGCTTTGTTGTGAGTATAGAAATAATTTAAGAGTTCATGCACATTATTGACGATCAAACCCTCGAGAGCTTGATAAGTTGTTTGCAAAAAACTTTCATAAATGGTTAGGAGCAATTGTAAGTAATGTCATACTTCCCATTATGAGAAATCTACATAGAATGTTTATGGTATAACTAACATTAATAACATATGTATATTTATTCCACCTTTATAGGTTTGGAATAGAAGGCTTGTTAGTGAAGATGTGAAGTGTCTTTCATAAGGTTCGAATAGAATTATGAAACAATACAAAGGTTTTATTATCAATGGATTTAGATTTCACATTAAATCCCATAAGAGATTTAAAAATACATAAAATTCAAGAGTTATTGTTACTTCATCAACTACTAACTATGCTAGTGCTAGAGACACAAACCCTTTAAAGAGAAATGTTGACTATTATGACATGATTAATGACATCATTAAGTTAAATTATTATGGCAAGTGAAAAGTTGTTTTATTTCAGTGTGATTAGGCTAATGTGAATAGTACGAAAGGTATTAAGAAAGATTAGTTTGAATTTACAATTATGAATTTTTCTTAATTAATTCATACCAGACAACAACTCATCAATGAACTTTATGCTTTTTCATCTCAAGTCAAACAAGTTTTTTATTCTAAAGATCCCAAAGAATTAGGTTGGTTTGTTGTTCTTCGAAACACACTTAAAGACTTATTTGATGTGGGGTTAGATACCAAAAATGATGTTGAACATGAAACTGAATGTTATCCTTTTACTAAACAAAACTTGGATGAGAATATCTCCAGTACCTTTACTCAATGGGTCCGTGAAGATATTAATGAAGACATTTATGAACCATGATGGATCATCTATATTTTGTAATTTGAGTATTTAAGACATAATGTAATAAATGCTTATACGTAATTAATGTCACATTCACTATTGTATATTTATTGTATTGCAAATTATACATTATCTTTTAATTTAATTAAATCGATATGTGCTTTATATATCTTTGGTTATGATTTCTTAACTTTTCAATGTCTTTATATATATTATTTACATATGTTTTTTATATATTCGCTTTTATGATACAGCTAAACTACAATGCAGAGGAATAAATTAAAAGGAATACATATAAGAGATATAAGTTCAGAACCATCTGCGACACCTGTTGATCTTGGCTATGGACTGAATCCTTTGAAGGAGAATGAACGTACTATCAGTTCTAACTCAGTTACTTCTAACCTTTCAACTACTATTGGTTCTAGTAATACGGGAGGTCTAGGTTTAAATAGTATCCCGTCAATTGATTTTGCTTTTAATTTGAATGTAGATATCATATACCCCATATTTAGATTTTGATTATAATGATTAAAGTATTGGTAATTTACAAATTGATTTTTTATTTTTTGCAGTTGATAACAATGGTCAATGAAGAACCAGAGGCTGGACAACTTTGAAGGAATTATTTACACTACCTCCGAGCGAGCGTATTATAGTGTCTGTAAACTCTAATAGGCAACCAATTGGTGAAGAGTCTCAACTGTTGGCTAGATTTATATGCATGATTGGCCGTAATGGAATGAAATTACCTATTCATTATGAAACATGGCATAAAGTTGTGGTTGATATGTTAACAATAACATATGTTTTTATATAGGAGATTGAGATTGGTGAAAAAATTATACGTGTGAAACTTTTCGCTTAACCCACACAAAAAAAGATGGATCTTACCTGAATGTTGAAACACAAGAAATTATGGTAATTTGTTACATTTATTTTATACAGAAAGTAAATATTTACTATTTTTAACATATTATGAATTAATCATTAAACTTAGTAGTTTTATTTGATTAATTTATAAAAAAAAGCGAGAGAGAAAATGACTCATGGGATTGAAGTAGCATATGATGGTTTTGTCAACATGTAAGAATTAAAAAATCAAATTTTCACAAAAGTTGCTGAAAAAGAAAGGCATGGACGGGTCCAAAGCCTTGGATTGGGTTCAACACCATCTAGCTACTATGGACATAGTTCTCAGCAATTTACATTCTCAGCAAGTCAATCTTCGTGAGATATTTTCATATTGAAAAAGGAGTTGCAAATTATACAATAACATTCAGCAAATAGAAGCAGAGAGAGAACATGAACGAGCTAAAATTGAAGAAAAACGTGCTAAAATGGACTAAGAGCATGTAAAATTTTAACAGTTGCATGATCGATTCAATACTCTTATGAATTTTATGCAAAAATAATTTTCAGGAATTAATCTAGGTAATCCACCAACTAAGGTATTATATTTAGTAAATATTTATATTTTTTTATTTAAAAAATAGCTTATTATTAAGTGTTAAAACTAGTATGATATTATTCAGTAGGTTCTTGAGCATGCTAGTGACTAAGGTGAAAAAATTTCTTTATCAAATGGTAGTATTCCAAATCTATGCAGTCATCAATTTCATACATTTAAAATTTTTTGATTAATGTACTAAAATAATTCGAATATTATTATACTAATTATTAAACTTTGTGTTACATACATATTTGAACGTGAATTATGTATTTATTAAATTTAGTTTTTGAATTTAAGTTCGTTTTTATTTCTTTTAACATTTTTATTTAATGAAAATAATAAATATTAAAAGAAGTTTTAAACAAAGGTAAATTTCTTAAATTAGCGACGTTTATATTAAAAAACACCGTTAAATTCTAAATTTAGCGGCGTTTATATAATACAAATACTGCTAATTTAGCGACGATTGTATTATATAAACGTTGCCTAATAGAGCAACGTTTTATGATAGAAACTCCACATTATTAACGATAATTTTTTGATACAAACATCACTAAATTAGTAATATTTTTTAGATACAAATACTCCTAAAATAACGGTGTTTCTTATAAAATGTCATTATTTTTTTATGCATGTATAGTCGACACTCTTAATGACATTTTTTGTAAACACCATAAATCTTTTAGTGATGTTTATAAATATCGCTAAACGTTAAAAAAAATACCACTAAAGACCTAAACCCCTGTAGTGGAGTGACATCCTTCACAATGATGTTATCGATAAAGAGAAAATTTTATAATGTGATCGATGATCTTATGACAATTGTCAAAATAAGGTGATAACCGAAAATGAATTTTTTTTTTTCTCTTAAAACGTTCTCATATATATTAATTAATTTGGGAGGGAAGATAATTGCTATGGACCTTGAAATTATATATGTGGCTTTTAGAAATAGCTGGTTACCACACCAAAGGTTTAGACAGAGATTGTCCTTATTAATCGTGAACATTTCATATCATTTCATTTCATTTACTTGAACAACAAAATGATCTTAGATTGAGAGTCGAGACAGAATTATTGTTGTTTGCCACTACTGTCTACTGATATTGAGAAGTATCTTATCCCAATATATAGTTTACTATGTATCACACTTGACTAGCTTATTGTGGAAAATTAAGCCCTAGCTACTGATTTCATCAAGAACCACCTATATATATATATATATATATATATATATATATATATAACTTCTTCCATATAATTATAGGCAATAAGATCAGTATTATAACAGCCAAGCAGTACTAGAAACACCATTTTAGAGCTCCATTCTTGTGCTAAATTAGCAAAGTAATGGTGAGTTTGAAGGAACACTCCAACCCAACAGTTAAAAACTAATTAAGCTAACCCAAGCTAGAGTCATTTAACAATGTCTTCCACTCCCCTAGAGGCTAGCCAGACCAATAGCCATTGCTGCTGCTGAGAACAATGGTGTGTACTAAACCAAAAATGGGATTATCCAAAGTACATTGACAATTTGCTTTAATTTTGAAGCACTATGAATATATAGGATAAATTCTTAACTATGTCTTGAAAATGCAAAAGATGTGGATTTATATATGTCCATGATGTTTTGCGAATTTTGGTGCAACAAATATTACAGATGGTCTTGCTCATGCCTTCAATGCCTCCAATGACATGGAACTTTAGAAATCAGTGCAATTCTTGGAAAAACCTGAGTATGTAAATTCTCCAGGCAGAGAAATTTCATATCTGCTATTCCGTGATATAGGAAGTATGAGAAACTGTTTCAAGGCTTCTTATTGACTCTATCACCTGGATATACACAATATCATCTGGACAAATTGCCACGCTCTTGAGAAAGCCTAACGGAAGCATCACGAACCAAATCAATTAGCAGTTCATCAAGATCTTCAAGTCCACCAGATTCTTGTAGTTTATGATAAAGGGGGGCCATGTAACCTGCCGCTACCTCAGCTAGCTTCCATAGAGAGAAACTAGCAGCAAGTTTAATAACTTCAACAGCCAATTGCCTATCAGAATCCAAGCAAGATAGAAGAATTTTGAAGCAGGCTTCTTGGACATCTTCCAAAATCCAAAATTCAGCCAGCCAATAAAGTTCTACATAAGGTTTCAGCTCAAATAGCCTTTCCTTAATATCCATATTGTCCCACAAACATCCAAAGGGAGGATTTGGCAACTCACTACTGTAGAAAAATTGCACCAACTTAATCAATGCTTCCCAACCGACAGGCACCTTTATGGTTTGTGAATGGCTGCATGCAAATTGAAACTTTGCAGTGAGGATAAATCAGCGACAAAAAATTCAAAAACCAGGTATCAAAACCAAATTCTGAAGGCACATAAATCATCTCTGGTTTTGAAGAAAGAAATCCATCAAAACACAGCATAAGAAATTTGAAATGTCCTAAAAAAAAAATTGACATCTTTGACATTTTGTTGAATGCCAATCCATTCGTCACATAAACAACATTGAAGAGGCTAACATATTTTCAGATGAGTAAAATAATTAATTATTTTAGCTACCTAGAAATAAAAGACTAAAACTATAACAAAAAAGATATAGTAAAATACAAATTGGCTAATGTGCAATAGGGAGATTTATCTAATTTTAGTTAACCCAACAACAAAAGATGTCATAATATTTCCAGGTTTTCCACCCTTCTATTATGTGCCCAGGCTGATGGATAAATATCTTGATATCAAACAAAACCTCTCATCACTTATCATGCCAAAGTACGCACAAAGTAAGAATTTGAATTTGTATAAAGAAGAGCAAATTGGTTTCTGCAGACCTTTCCTGCATTCCTGATTGAAACAAGGCTCGAAGATAATTACAACTTGACCACAATATAATTTTGTGAGCGTGCATGTGCGGCACCAATAGAGAGCAAAAACTGCATGCCCAGGGCATTTGTTCAGTCCCTTTAGCTTCCAAGATTACATCCCTGAAACAAGAAATATAACAACTTTTAATTACTTTACAGAAACAACATAGATAAACAGTAAGACAGCACAAATTAACAGTTGATTGGCATATTCTTTTTGTTGTGTACTTTCAAATGTTATTCACAATGAAGCCTCCACATTAGATGCAAAAGTTGAGATCATAACAGCAGAAGACTATACTGACATAATATAGTGTCAGGGCATCACTAGGCGAAAGAGAGTAGACAGTAACATACGCAAATTGGAACCCAGCAGGGCCAAGAGCTTCAGTGAGATCAGAGCTTGGAATAGGAGTACCCCAACTAGGTATCTTTCTGCAAAGCATTAGGAAAAGAGGCTGCAGGTTACAAGACTTAGCCAGAGTTTTCAACTTCCTTGCAAGCTCTTCTCCTGCTTCAAGATAACCAAAGTAAACATAATCCAACAACTTCAGTAGTGCCTGCTGATCAACATGAGCAGACAAACGAACTTCTTTTTGGAGCATTTCTGGAATATCTCTTACTGAAAATTTATCAGTAATTTTTGCATTATGAGGAAATTGCTCAGTGGGTAGCAATGATGGACAACGGACTGCAAGAATAATTTTGTGAGCACTCACAGAGTCACCATTTGCGAAAAAGAGTTGCAGATCTGTGTGTTCCTTGTCTTCAAGTGCTTTCACAAAGCCTTTGTCATGTTTACTTGGAAAACCATAAACTCCAAAATAACTAAGAATATGTGCAGCCAACCATCTTGGTCCAGGAGCATATACATTATCTAAGACATCTTGTACTGTCTTAACTAGGTGAGATTTGGTATGATTTCTATCAGAGGAATGCTGTACCAACTCAGCTAGTCCCCACAAACTGTAGAATAAAAGAGCATCCTTTCCTTCCCATTCTTCTTTAGTCATCCAGCAACATGTCCTCTCATAAAACACATTATTATGAAGATGAGAGGCAAAGCTCCTCCTCCTAATACAAACTTGATTGCTCAAGCAACGTCTTATAAAAGTCACTAGTGTCTTCATTCCATCATCTCTAATAACATTCTTTTGATATTGTGGCAATCCAGAATAACAGGTCAAACCAACCAATTCAATGACAGTTTTAGGAATGTTTAGCGACCCAAAATTGTTTGTTGATGATGCATACTCTAATAAATGCAGCAAGCGTTTCAGATACTCATTTCCCTTAGGCTCTAGAACTCTAGAAAGGATAAGCCTTACTTTTGATGCAATATATGTGCTGCCAGAATGCATCATCACTAAAACTGCTCTGGATGATGACTCACTTCTAGAGGTATCATCATTTTCACATGTTTTGCATCCTTTGCATATTGCTTCTACAAAAGACAAGCTATCAAAGGATATCAGCTTAGGCAAGGCGAAAATCTCTGAGTAGCTAAAAAACCAAAAAATAATGAACACAAAATATAACAAAGATAAAAAAATAAAACAAAAATAAAAATATAGAATAAAAACAAGACATGTACATAAGTGGATAAGCCAAGCAAGAGTTATTGATGAATAGGAATATTACCATGCACATGTGATAAGCATGTCAATATAGAGTTCATTTTGATATGTGCTTGGTCTAAAATCTTTCGTACAGTGCACTGCAAGCCATCCAAGAATCTCCCAGATGTATGGCCTCAGTGCAAGAAGAAAATTTGTATCAAGGCCTTCCTGAGCAATTGAAATTTGCTCCTCAGATGACAAAGGATGTTCTTTGTGAAAATTTTCAAGAAGCAGATCAAGAAGAACTTTGTCAATCCCTTGCACCCAAACGCAATTGTGATGTTCTCCTGGCCAACGAGTAATTAGAGCCAATCGACAGGCCTCATCTAGCAAACACATCTGATCATTTGCAACCTTTCCAGAGCCCAAGCTCCAAACTCTCATTCCTCCAATAATGGCTTCAGTTAGAGGCCCAGAACATATGCTTGTCATTTTTATGCATTGCTGTTCATCTGCCTAAGTAATGAATGTACCAAATTACACAAACAACAAAAAATACACATCTATTGAGGGTATTTGTGAAAGAAAATAAATTATAACCATTACCGCCAAATGCTGGGCAAGTCTAAATCCCTCGATTCTGACTGACAGAGGCTCTGAGCAACCCATGGAATAAACCATCATAGGTAGAATTGTTTCTCCATTATCCAGAAGCTCCTTGGCTACTTTATTGCATAGGGCTGGCATAAAGAGATAAGAAATCGTTCAATCCAAAAACTAATGGATAAAAACTAGTAAGTTGAACTTAAAGAATGGAAAAAAAATTCTTATAACGGATGATCAATACCTAATGCAGAATACAATTTCAACACCACAACTTTTGTAGATACAACAGATTTTATGCAACTATCTTCTAAAGCTTTCATCAATATGGTATCATTCCACACAGAATAACGAGATGGAGGCCACCGCCACAATATTGTATACAAAAGGGAAGCCGTCTCTTGAAAATTCTCAATTGGCAGGGTGCCACCAAGAAATTCCTGCATAATCCTACAAATCTGAATGACAGTCTTTGATTCTTTGACTATCTCCCACACTTCTTTCTCCCTCTTGACACTTAGATTGGAGAAGATCACATTCAAAGCAGTAGCAGAGGAAGTAGCAACTTCTAAATTGTTGGAACATAACAAGGATGACAAAGGATTGATGAGATCTGTCAAATACAATTGCATCATTGAACTGTTAGTGCTAACCAACTTCACCACCACATCTGCTGCCATACCTACTATCGCTTCACTTTTACATTGCACAATCCACACCAATGCCTCAACTATATCAGCAAGTGAATCCTGGAAGTGGAAGCCAAAAAATGAAAATTGTTAAAAGGAGGACAAAGCAAAATGAGAGAAAAAGTGAAGCAAATAATAACACATATTAACTGACTCCAACAACAGAATTACAGATTTCCCAGAACCAAAATTGGCCGCATGAATGAACACGCATAACACCTGAACTAACAATCATCAACTACTCATACATCTAAATTTTAGAAAAACATGGAAAAAAGCTAAAGCAAAATCGGAGAAAAAGTGAAAAGCAACATATCCATCTACATCAAATATGTAACTGATATCTGAAAATAAGCAAGACAAATCTCTACAAGCATGTTTTTGTTTCATAACTAAGTAATGAATTTACTTTCCTTTTGCTGCTTCTTACATCCTCAAAAGTTGCTATGAACGAAAAAAGCAAACAATAAAAACAAAAAAAAAATCATATTTGAATACAAAAAACGGAGCAAAAGGCTAAATTTTTAATTACCAATTCTTCAAAAAATTGCTTTTATATTATAATGTGGAATAGTAAAAAATAAAAACCTTGAGAAGCCGATGGTGCGAGGCATGTCCAGAAGTAGAACCAAGAAAAGCAGCAAGAGAACGGACGACATGCCTCTGAATCTCTATATCCGTACACTTCCATTTCCTGTCTTTATCATCACACAATCTGCCCATCAACAAAACCAATTTTAGTAATTTATCAAAAACCCAGAAATAATTTAATTAATAAATTATTAAAACCAAAATAAAGAAATAAAGAAAAGAAAAAAACAAGTTTACCTGGTGGTACCAAGACTTAAAGCATGTTTAAGACGTTGATGGAGAGTGTGTAAATGGGCACTGCTACTACTGCTTCCTCTACCGTTATCTGCTGCTGCTCCCCGTTTTGATGATACCATTACTTTTTTTTCTCTCTCTCCCTCCCTCTTTGCTTCACTCTTTGATGGCTGATAATCTCAAATTAAGAAAATATTTTCCGGGAAAAGATTTCTTCTTTTCGCACTTTTCATCGGTTTAAGAAAAGATTTGAAGCAGCGTATGGAAAGGGCGATTGTAACTTGCAATTGTTTCTGGAAATTTGCGGGATAATTTTTAGAATTTTCTTGTTTTTGGTAGGAACAAAAAAATACTTAACTCTTTAATAACTATATATAGATATATATCATTGATATAATATATATATATATATATATATGTTTTTGGGTCTTTGAGGAAGACAGACCCACAATAAGAGGTAAGAGGAAGGTTGGGATCGAATCTTAATTTTGGTGTTTTTTTAGAGTTATTTTGATCACTAAATTAATAAGTCAAAAATTATATATATATATATATTTTATATTACCTTATATTCACTAAAATATTAAAACATAAAATCATACATAATTTATGTTTTTTTTTTGTAAAGAATTTTCCTTTTGTACGAGGGAGGCTGAAGCCTAAAACTTAACTTTTCTGCTATAGATAACTTTTGATTTTTAGAGTGCCAAAATGTTGAGAGAGGAAAATGGAAGAAAATGAAAGAGTATCATTCTGTGACTTTATGCAAAATTGATTCTGACTGTTGAGATCTTTGACAGTGTCAAAACATGAATTTTGATGTGGGGGAACTTTTTATTAAGAATAATGATGATGCAAAGGCCCGGAAGCAGAGGAAACTTTCTTTTTTCTTTTTTTTTTTTAAATTATGCTGCAAGAAGTTTTAAGGAGTATGAGAAAAAAATGAAGAAGAAGAAAGCTTTAACTTAAACAATTGCTGTTTGTTGTTGATAAAACCAATCCAATAACAAGTGACTCCAAGTTTTTGACTCCAAATTCAATACTAGTGTTGAATTTAGATGACTGAGGCCGATATTTCATCAAGAACTACTTTGGGACTAGAAACAATTTTCTAATTCTAACAGCATTAGCGAGTCACACTTAAGCTCCCATTCCAACCACAACAATGGGCGATCATTAAAATTGGAATTCTTGTAGATCTAATAAGCAAAGCAAAAGAAATCTGGAAGAATCAAACGGAAGTTGATCAACTTTAAGTCCAATCTATCCTGAATGCTGGAGAATATGGGGGGGGGGGGGGGGGGGGGCGGGCAATAATACTTTTATATATTAGATCATGGTAACACGACCGATTATCCAAATAGAGTTCTCAATTACAAACTTTTAGGAAGCATGTTAAATTGAAATAACAAAACAGTACTCTACACAGCTCAAACCGCAAAATTCCAACATGAATATCTGTTAGTACTAGACAACATACATCTCAAACAGTCTTAAAAACTTAACCTAGAAATAGAAGACAGAACAGATGAGTTTGCGGAAAACACATCCTCCAACCGTCACAACTTCATGCAACATATGCTGGATGATCATCAAGACTGGGGAATGGCAAGGAAAAGCCAATCCTGTCTGAAATGCACCAACTTTGATATATCTCTGCCTTATGTTTTGGCGCTTCCTATTCAGCCTCCAGCTCATGCGCTTCTTCTTCCACTCAAAAGCATAATAATAACGCCAAATTAATCATAATAGAGAAAATATGTCCAATTAAAGACAAATGAGATGGTTAACTAGTTGTTTCAAATGGCTCACACAGAAGATTATTGTATACACTGTTACCATTTCATTTTAGGTCAAATAACCACGAAATTAATGAGGATTAAAGCAATATATATTTCATTTTGTGATCCCGCAGTTTTTGTTGAATTAGTGATGTTTTATTTTATAGTAAACCACAACCGCTCCTTCTTCGAAGATCTATGTTAACGATTAACTCCACTATCCATATGATTGAAAGTTGATAGTACATCACATCTCGGCAATACTTGCCAGGGATGCTAAGATGAGTGCAAACAATGGCAGTGTCACTGCAAAGAAAACGCCCTAGAAAAAATAACGAATTAATACATGTAGTTTGCTTCTTATCGGCCATCAAAGTCTGTAACAGTTACATCATTCACTGAAAATCTATCTTCAATATTTTGCAAGGACTCAGAATCTTGAGTAATTTGTGTTTCAGTGAAAGCAGGTTGTTTTGGAGTGGGAAGATCCACAATCTCACCATTAAGCATGGAAACTACAGTCGACATAGTCGGCCTATCTTTAGCGAATTCTTGAACGCATAGCAGCCCAACATGTATGCATCTCAAAATCTGTTTGTGATTGCCCGAACCAGAAACCTCCATGTCTACTACATCCAAAATGTTACCTTCCTTCCACAATTTCCATGCCCGGAAAGGAACAACATTAGCTCAATTATACATGGAACTTTTCCACATTTCTCAATTTCATTTGATTGCTAAATTAGCAATGGGGTCTATGTATCCATCCAGACCTGCATGAGCATTGGCCTTGGACATAGATTTTGAAGCCGATTAAATTACTTTATTAATAAATAATACTATTTAGTTTATTTAAATTTAAAATGTATTATAAAACATTGATTTTTAATTAAGAAGAAAGGCATATATAATAAATCTAGCAAGAACTCGATTCATGAAACCTTTTAGCTATAAAAAAATCATCGTATAAACTTACATATCCGGAAAGGCTAGAAGAATGCTGATTGTTGTAAAAGCTTGTATTTTTTCTTCCACTAACAATCTCTAGCAATAGAACTCCAAAGCTGTGGACATCGGATTTCTCTGAAAATTGCCCTTGCATTGCATACTCGGGAGACATGTAACCACTGTATTTTTCTTTTTTTTTTTAACATAAAAACAACACCAGTTACATCCTATTTTACACACACATGAACTGGTAAATGCACATAGTATGTAAAAAATAAAGAAAAAAAATTCCAACTTACTAAGTTCCTACGACCCTTTTTGTATTGGCTTGATTTTCATCCACTCCAAAAATCCTTGCCATCCCAAAATCTGAAATTTTTGGATTTAACTCTTCATCCGGTAAAACATTACTTGCTTTTAGATCTCTATGTATGATCCTCAATCTTGAATCTCTATGAAGATAAAGTAAACTTCAACTAATTCCCTCAATAAAATTGAAGCGTTTTCTCCAACCCAAAAGTTCTTTTTTGACTGGATCTAAAAAAAAAAAAATTTAAACAATAAGACCTAAGTTAACAATTAATTGCTAGAGCCGCATAATTCTACAAAGGAAAATGGTAGAGAAGGTATTAGCATTGTTCTAACCCAAAAGAAAAGCGTCCAAGCTTTTATTAGGCATATACTCGTAGACAAGCATCTTCTCTTCTCCTTCAATGCAGCAGCCAAGTAATCTAACAGCATTTCGATGTTGGAGTTTAGAAATCACCACCACCTCATTCATAAATTCTTCTAACCCTTGGCCTGAGGCTCTTGACAATTTCTTCACTGCTATTTCCTTTCCATCTTGTAATATTCCCTGGATAGAAAAATCAGCTTGCTTAGTTAATATATATATAGAAATGTCAGTTGACAGACTAGATTTGCCTGAAGTCGCAGGTTACCCTGTATACTGGACCAAAACCACCCTGTCCTAACTTTTTTGTAAGATGAAAGTTGGTAGTTGCAGTTGCTAGTTCCTCAAAATTGAACAGAGGTAGCTGCTGGAGTTTAACTTGAATTAAATTTTCTCCAACCACGTTGTCACTAGAAAATTTTGCCACTGCTTTTCCTTTGTTGAATAGCTGCTTCATCTGTTTACTTTTTTGTTTCCTTCCTGAGATAAAAGTTAGTGAAAAGCAATGAATTGACAGTTACCGAAAAAATTTTTCACACAATACCAGTAGAGATGAATATATTACCTCTATCTTTAGCCATCCAACTCAATAATAGAAATGTAGAGATTGTAATGATGATTACACCCACGATCAACGTTGGAATAACAATAATTTTTCTTTTCTGTTTCTTTTTATAATCTGCGAATTGAGAAACATTGGTAATCAAACTCAGTGGCAAAAAAAAAAAAGGATAATTGAAGCAATTTAACAACTACAATTTCGAAATTTAAACAATTTACCAAGTTCTGCATATGCCACACGAATGTAAAGATACACTCCCCGCATGGAGTATTTCTGTATGTCAATTAAATTTCCACTCCAAAGCATACAACCAATGCCAGCATCATATGCATAAGCCACACACGAACATTTCAGTTGCCTTTAAGCATAGATGACCACTCTGGAAAGGCTGGCACTTTCATCATCTCTAGCTTCAAAAACCCATCTTCCTTGCCTACTTCACTGCCATTGTTTACTTTTTGGCACTGTAATGGGGTAGTCCTAACACATCCACTGGTCCAATTCTCTCCATTTCATTCCTCTCTATTCTTAGGCTCAAACCCCCTCAAACAACTGCAAATTGATGGTTTCGTTGAATCACAACTTCCAAATGCTCCACACTTTCCATAAACATCACAATCAGTTTCAAGAATAGGAAACTCATTGTCCCAGCTTCCCTTCCCCGCATCCCAATTTCGTTATACCATCTTTCCTTGAGAATCCAATTCAAAGTATAACACCATAGACTTATTAGAAAAAGCAAAAGTAAAATAATAGGCTTCTTCTTGCTCATCTGCAACAAGATAAAATCCTTCAAGATAAACAGAATCCATATTTATTAAACCAATAAAGATGTGACCATTCCATGGACCAGTCCGAAAATGTCTCATTATTTTTCCAAATGATGATTTCTGGAATGTTGAGAGGTTCAAGGCTACAAGAGAAGCTACCATCAGATGGATCAGAAGGGCTTTTCCAAGATCTTAGCTGCATTTTCTTACCTCTTCTAACATCGGTACTAATTTACATAGTTGGAATAAAAGCATTGGATGGATGCTGAAAGCTCTCCCATATGCTCACTCCATTGATGTTATCTTCAGAACAAGGTTTCCAGAATCTAAAAGCAGGGCACTGGTATTAGCAACTGAATCTGTAACACTTGATGACCAAAGAATCTCTTTATTGCCCGTTCAAAACAACAAGATTGCCATCCTCTGACATCTTCACAGTCCCGGAAAAGTCCTTGAGAGGGTTGTTTCTGTTTGCGACCATATCACAGTTTGTACAGGAATGTGATTAAACCATATCCCAACTTAGCGATCGCTAAAATTGCCAAGGCTGAAGAATCCCAATTGGAAAACTCCGCTCTTGGATGTTATAACTTCAGCGTCATTGATGGATTTGGATGCTGTGA